GAAGCAAAAAAGAAAATTGCCTTTTAAGCTTTAAATAAGGTCAGCCATCGTAAGAAAGCAGTAGCCACTCAAACTTAGAAAAGCAGTATCCACCCAGAACTATGTATGAACAAATAAGATCTCAGTTAAGCCAGCCACAGAGATGAGGTAGCTGTGTTCAAGCAACATTTCATCAAGACATAAATTAAACAGTGCTGTGGTGCATTATCTGTGCACCCTCGCCAGGTTTGTTTCAGCAATACCCTGCATTTCAATGAAGAAAAATCAAGAAGTGAAAAACTTTCAAAATTCTGCCAATATTCAAGACCAATTAAGTAGGAGTTGCTTTGACATCAGTCCTGATACAAAAAAAACAAAACAAAACCAAAAAAAATCCCCCCAAAAACCCAAACCAACAACCCAAAACAACAGAAGCTTGAAGATTATCAAAAGATAATCAAGAGGCAGGAACACAGTTCATGCCAGTCAACACAGCTTTATAAAAAATACCACATTATCACACAAACTAATTTATATACACATTTTTTAGCAAGATTCCATACTCGGAAAGGTAATTTAAGTATTTATTTCTTCTGTCCTGGTCAGCTTCCTGATAAAAACTGGCATTCTGACATCTGTAAAACATGTTAAGTACCTTTCAAAAAATAGTCCAGAAGTAGCTGGAATAGACTCACGGCCTCCTGCGCACGTTCCCAGAGCAGCTCCCCAGAAAGAGGGTGGTAAAACTGGCGCAGCACAGTGCTGCGGCTGGCGATTCGGAGCACAGTCTGGCATCGACCCTGACAACAACATCGAGGTAAGGGAAACCAGCACCAGCGAAGTGCTGAAGGATAAGGCACAGAACGATCTGGACTGCTCGGTATTCAACCACGGCAGCAAAATGCTTCTTCAACACAGCCGACTGGGATCCAGCTTTCTCCAGGCACAGTTCTGTACATGCATTTTTATTTTTTAATGACAACCTTGCATATTTTACTTTATTTGAGGCACAAAGCATGCTACACCTTGAAGGTGGCAGTAAGGAAGAGCAGAGGGCAGGGGAGCAACAGTGCATCCACAGCGTAGTTTACACAATGTAGATCTCTTCTCCACTGCATGAAGAATAAGAAACGTTATTCCATCATTCAATGTTCTCATGTTCTTCAATTCTTCAAGGGAACTTTATTGGAGATTCAATATCAAGACAACCATTCTGTCATTAAAGGCTACAGGGAAAAAAGAAATTACATGTACGCTCTAAACCACCTTTGCAACATGCTGGTATCAAGCAGGGGAATGCTTTCCTGCACTTTAAAAGAAATACTTGTTTTGAGAATTACGCATAGAACAAGTTACTCTCTTTTCAGTGCATGCAAAAATGCATGGCGTGAAGGAAGACACTTTATTAAGAAATACCCAAGTAGAAAAGACCCTTCAAAGTTTGAGCCACAGGAAGAGATAAATTTGGTATCATAGAAACAAAACTTTAAGAGACCTAGAAGTGAACAGTTAAGATGCACAGAATGCACCCGAGCTCATGCCAAACTAGGCTAGGAGTTAAATTCAGTGACAAATAATGTTCCCTAACAAAAGTGAATTTTATACTATGTAAAGTGCTGATACGCAAGTCAGTACCTAGGCATTTTATTGGCATGTCTCAAAAATACTCTTCTAAATTCAGTTACAAACTGGCTGTTAAAAAAAAAAAAAAGCCAAAAACGTAACTTTTTCAAAAGTAGAGTTTGCTGCAGGTTAAGTTGTTAACCCTTTGGACATTAGAAGTCTTCTCTCGTTTTATCACTTCTGACATTCCTTGCACATACAAAGTATTTTGAATACTATACCTAAAAATGCACCACGTCCACAAAAGCAGCTATGCAGGTTCCATCAGGGTATTTCCCCCTACATAGGATGTAACTAGCTCAGGACATTCACCCCCAAGTCAAGCCCCGTATAAGACATTTGTACAGAAGCATCATGGGAGAGCAGCCACGGGTTCTTCACCTACCAAGTCTGCTACTGAGCCATTTCATTGCTCCCAGCACTGCAAAGCCGACCTGAGAAAAAGGAGGAGAGGAGCCGACACAGTTCTGCTTCTTTATCACCTCTGACCATACTCTTGATTTCCTCCTCACCACATTTTAAGAGGATGTGTCACATTAGGTCTCCTATTGCCTACAAAATGTTACAAGCACCTTCAGCTAACTGAGAAGTAGAAAATGCAGTTATTTTGAAGGAATTGAGCAGATTGGAGATGTACCTCCTTGACCACAAGCACTTTTTCAGGCTTTAGCTTCTAACCATTATTACTTCTCCATTAATTTAGAAGCCAAATGATATTTAGAGGTTAGTCTTCCAATACCTCAAACTCTTATCAGAAATAAAAACATTGAGGACTATGAACATGAAAATAAACAACTTTCCTAGTGCTGTATTTGCTCTCTCTAGCAGCCTTTAGATCAAGTCCAGCAGCTCTCTAGTAATACGTGCTTATTAATCTCAATACACAAGTAACAAAGGATGAAGACGAGACAAGCCTACATCAAAGGCTCCCAGGGTACAATATCTGCTAGCAATTCAAGTCCCCCTTCTCAGCCTTTTCAACGCATCCACGCAGGAACATTTTACATGGCGAAACTCTAAGGCATCACTGTGCAGATTAATTCTGCTATGCAGTCCCCAGCCTGATACCCTGGCCAATATGCTCAGTCCTGGGGAACCCCACGACTAAAGAGCCTTTTCAGCATTTAAAGACGCTAAGCAAATCTCCCGACCAGCTTGCCAACCCTGAATGAAGCAAGAGAAGGTTCCAGGTAAAACTATTCTTTAAGTTCCCAGTTGAACCAGGACATTTGCTATAAAATATGTGTGCACCCACAGATTTTCCGCAACCTTTCAGTATTTCACTGAAAGTTCAACAGATCAACCTTTGCTAGACACAAAGCAGCAAGGGGTGGGCCAGCTGAAGGGGGACGGGACTGCTATCCAAGCCGTGCCAGACCCTGCTTGCATATCAAAGCGTGTAAGTAATTACTGCACACACATGCCACTTACCTCAGTAAGACTTACGAGCACCAAGACAGCTTATTTCACCCGCCTATCCCAAACAAACATCAGCCTTAAGATACATAAAAATTAGCGAACAGAGCAGGGAACCCATTTAACCTCACAACAGTGAATGTTAGTCATCTGCAGCTTGGACTATCAACAAATTTCAATTATCACAGCCTCCGTGTTATTTGAACACAAGCAGCATTATGGTCCCCTTTTGAGACTCCTACTCAGTTACGAAACAGATCAACTGGTCAGTGTGACTTTTCCTTTTAAGACCAAAACTCAAAAACCCCAGGCGAAGGGGCTGCATTGCAAGCACGCATCCTGCGAGATCCACCTGCACCCAGGAACACCATGTAAGGGTAATGCCACTTAAAAGACAGGATTACATTGTAACTTCAGTTTTGTGATTTTTTAGCTCACTGTCAGTAATTCTACCCCATTTTCCATTAAGCAAAACATGTGACAGTTACCTCTAAACATTTATTTAGATCTATGTACATAGTATCATTACGGAAGGTATGCATCATGCAACCAAGGAAATCACAGAAGTCTCATAAACAATATAAATTTGACTACTCTCTTACAAAGATGTGAATCACTAGGTTATCAAATCTCTCAGGTATAAATATTATGAGGTAAGCAATACTTAAGATGAGGCACTTAAACAATAACCCAAAAGGTAATTAGTGTACAAAATTATAAACAGGAACAGTTATTCATATTGCCCTCCATTATATTTAAAAATGATTTATATTCTATATACAGTGTGTTACATGCCTTACACGCCCCACTGAAGCAAAACATTATGGAAGTATGAAAGAAACCAAGCCGTCATCACATGCCATTGACTAGAATACAGGCAGATGAGTATCCTGGAGTATGCAGTGATACAGTGAGAAAAAAAAAAGTGCCTCTCAGAATGAATGTTTTTCTAGACAATCCCCAGTTTTCTGTTTGGAGAAAATATCTATGCTAACAGAAAGTTAACTTGGTATTAACATACAAATCTGCCAAGCCAGAAGAAAACCACCCTACTGTGTTCAAGGAAGGAATGCCAATTAGGACAGGATTTAAGCCTTAGTGGGATTTATGGTAATTAGAAATGTAACAAATTTAACTTTACAAAGAAATTAATTATGCCAATTAAAACACTTAGCAAGTTTTACTGAGAATTTATACAGTATTATATGTATATGGTGCTGATCAATGCCCGATTTATTAAAATTACTTAGGGCACACTTCCAAGAAAATTTACCGAAGTAGTACAGGAATTCCAATTAAGAAGTAAAATTAGTATTTGCAATAAACATTTCTTTATCAAGATCCAGAGAGAGGAAAAACACCCAACAAAAGTAGTAAGGAATTTACGTTCAGGTGGGGTGCACAAACATCCAAATAACTGCACAGCTTGCTAGAGTCTGCCTGGGAAACGAGGTCAATATTTTCTAATATTAAAACAAACCTCCACATTCAGATAACTCAAGAATTCTCAGTGCCAAACAGCTCGCATCAGCATTCCATTTCCAACAAATCTGCACATTAATGGAATGGTAACTTTAAATATGCTTCCTCCCCCTACGCTTTTTGAGGTGGGGAGGGAAATGGAAATTTCCAAAACAGGTGAAGTTATTCCTATCTGAAAAGTATCTGTCTTTCATGGGAACAATGATCCTAAGTTCACTTGGTCTTGTAATAAAGCAGCTCGGATTTTATTTTTAGATGGCCTCTGAAGGCCATCTATGTTTCACTTATATTTGACACTACAAACTCTCTGAACAAATGCAAACTACATTATGTCTTCTGTTTCTAAAGATAAGCCAGTTGAGTTTTGAAGTTTAAATGGAACAAAGGAAGACCAGTTACTAGAATAACAAAATTAAACTTGGCAAAAGTAATGAATTTTATTTACAAATACATGTACGAGGATTACAACAGAAACACGCTAGGGAAACTCCATCTCAACAAAAGCAATGATTTATTGGTAATGGCATTAAATGAAACAGATTGACAGTCTCTGGTTATGGTCAAGCAATTATCCAGGAGTTGTAGATAAAAGTGAAGATCTCTGATTGTGTTAAGGCCTTCCAGTGTCTTTTGCGTCCTAGTGGCTCTCTCCTTTTTTGCCAACTACCTGATAAGAGAAAAAAACAGAAATAATGTTTAACCAAAAAAGTCCTGCCAAGTATTTTTTAAAGTAAGTCTCAAAATAAACAAGTGCAACTGAATTTTCAACAAAGTTAATGCATATAAGCATGCATTATTGTAGCACTTGCAGAAGCTGTGAATCCCTCTACAGGGTTAAGAGGGATACGAACCACACAAGAAACCTTATCTTTACTACTTATACAGACAGCAAAGCATCAGTCTCATTTTGGGAAAAGTTAGAAGACAGTAACTGCAACAGAACAGACCACACTTAAAAGTTTGTTATTGTCCTGGTTTCAACTGGGATGGAGCTAACTGTCTTCCTAGTAGCTGGTACAGTGCTGTGTTTTGGGTTCAGTATGAGAAGAATGTTGATAACACACTGATGTTTTCAGTTGTCCCTAATAATGTTTAGACTAAGTCAAGGATTTTTCAGCTTCTCATGCCCAGCCTGCGAGAAGGCTGGAGGGACACAAGAAGTTGGGAGGGGGCACAGCCAGGGCAGCGACCCAAACTGGCCAAAGGGGTATTCCATACCATGTGACATCATGCCCAGTATATAAACTGGGGGGAGTGGGGTTGGGGGGATCACTGTTCGGGAACTAACTAGGCATCAGTCAGTAGGTGGTGAGCAATTGCACTGTGCATCACTTGTATATTCCAATTCTTTTATCATTATTATTATTTTTATTTTATTATTGTTATCATCATTATTAGTTTCTTCCTTTCTGTTCTATTAAACTGTTCTCATCTCAACCCATAAGTTTTACTTTTTTTTTTTTTCCTATTCTCTCCCCCATCCTACTGCAGGGGGTGGCGGAGGGGCCGGGGCAGGGAATGAGTGAGCAGCTGCTTGGTGCTTAATTGCTGGCTGCGGTTAAACCACAACAGTTATATACCAAGCATTCAACCTTAATACACTATATAAAATATTGTAGTGGGAAGAGAACCACTGGGTGCTCAAATAGAAGTTTTTCATTTCCCTTGGCATCCTTGCCATCTACCTAACTGAGAACATTTATCTTATAATGCAGCTCAAACCTATAAAGAAATCTGGAAGTCACCTGATTTTCAGTTATTCTTTGTCAAAACATTATTCCTTACCAAGTCTCCTTCTATCTCCAATTCTGCAAACTCCACCTGGAATCAGAGTCAGCTTAGTGCTTCCCTTTTCAGAAAAGATCACCACTGCCACCAGACTTTGGTGAGTTGATTTGCCAGCCAACAGCAAGTGCAACTCCAGCATTCTGTATATACTGCTGTGCAAGTATAAAGTTAGCGTAGTTCACTGCAGAAGGGTATCCAGTCCCCTTCCTTAAGATAACTGAACACAAAATCCTGAGAGCAGGAAACGATGCCATTTTAGTCACCTTTCTGAAAAGCTTCAGACATAATTCTAGTGCTCTTGCAGACCCTTGAAAAAATATCCATTTATAAGCCAAATCAAAATAAAAAGAAAATAAGTCTTAAAGTTTAAAACTTCAAACTGCAGGAGGGACTTTGGGCAAGGCACTGATTCCCAATTCATTTCCATCTAACTGGAGCAGCACTTATGGCTCTGATAAGGTGTCGTGAGAATTCACATGAACAGAGATTTGAAGATTACACTAATGAAGCATAGAATTTCCCACTACTACTCATAATAATGCTGAAAACGAAGAAGCAAACCTTTCTTGTATTCTAACCAATTGACTGCTATAGCAAATGTGTTAAGTATTAATTACCTCTGTAGTTAAGTGACAATATACCACACAAGATTCATACAGTCAATAGTGAACAACAGGACCAGGGGGAAGAAACAAAACAAACAAAAAACCCAAAACATCCACAGCCCTGAACTTGGGAATTCTCATGGACCCACTGGAAGTATTCTTCCTGATCCTTCTCCTTCTTTCATTTCTTGTCAGATTTCAAGAGGGAGAATTTTTCACTATGCAGCTGCTTTTGGTCAGCTGAGTCATCACTGTCACAAAGTAATTGATATCTACTGATGAAAAGTACTTTTAAAGACCATTTTCACCTCCAAGGAACCCTTGACCAGGAGCATTTCACCAAGCTGTAAATTCAACCTAAGGCTTAAGGTCAGGAAAATTCCAATTTGACAACATGAGGAAAGAAGAAAAAAAATCAGAAGCCACATCACTTGCATTAAGATCCAATTAATCAAGTTAAAAAAAAAGTTAAACTTGTCAAGAAGCAATATTTATTCTTTGTGTGTTTCCAAAGCACCAAACTGTGTTCGCACACAGATTAAGGAAAAAAAATTAAAAAAAAAGAAAAAAGAAAAAACACAGTTAAAAGATTAAAGATTAGATGTTAGCAAGTGTGGAACATGAATTAAAAATATTGCTATACCAGTCTGAGGCAGAAATTGACAACTCGCCCATATGTATTATCTGTGAAAATCAATCACACTGATGTGGATATTTTGTCATCACAGGTCAAACCCCCATTTTCTGACCATCCCACTCCACCTTCCCAAAAGGAAATGGGCTATTTAAACCAAACAATTGTCATTATTCCTTTCTCAGAAGTAGATCCGTTTTCCTTCCTTTTACAGAAAAAACTGCCATCTAGTGCATTCTAAGGTAGTGGTTACAGCCTGTAACTCCTGCACAAAAGATGTCGGGTTTGGAGCTAGCTTTTCTTCAATTGTTTGGCTTTTTCCCAAGCATCAGTCCAGAGCCTGACAGTGACAAAAACACAACCAACTCTATGGTTCATTACCAAGAGGAGGACTGAAAACACTTTATTACTGAACCTTCTGGAGCAGAGTTGGTTTTGTTTGTTTTAAATATATATAAAGAGGTTGAGCAAGTAAAATTAGTAGGATGCTGTTGGAGAGCCCTAATCAGGCCACATATGTACAAACACTCACCAACTCTTCACTGTGTCTTCCCTGAGCAGGTGCCCAGTGCCACCAGAGGGACAATAAAGAGTAGTACTTTCCAGCCCATTCTGGCTTGCCTACTACTTATGGAAGGGTCACAACAAAGAAAAACACTAAGCTCCACTAAGACACTAAAAAAAGTCAAGTCTTGATAGAGCATTTCACAAGCTGCATCTCAAACAGCTTTACAAAATTCAATACAGGCTGAAAAATTAATTACAGAAAATGATTTGTAAAAGTACTGTATGGTATGCCTTTAGAATGTCAAGTTCAGGATAACAGTGGGACACAAATTTGGTAAGACTGAAAGGTAAAGAGAAGTGTTTAAGGTAAGATTTGGAGCAGGGAGTGGAGGGGAAAGATGAGTTGATGAGTCAGAAGGTAGAGAAGGCTTTTCCTGATGGTAGAAGGTGCAGAGAAGGTGGCTCTTGTACCAGTGCTGAGATTGTGGAAAGGGTGAAAGAGATGCTAGATGAGCAGAGGGAGCAAGGAAGGGAGTAGTGCAAGACCACTTCAATCTTATTATTACTTTTTAATTTCTTCTGCCTTTTTAGTTCTTTAGAAATGGGAAGTTAAGCTGAAAAACAAACAAACAAGATGTTACAAGAAAAAAAAGCAGCAGCATGTAGTGCAAATAAGCAGTTCTGAGTAGAAAGAAAGCCTTTTTGAGAGGGGACAAAAAAAAATATCCCACAACCTGTCAATATTCATCTACGCCCCAACCTCAAAACTGAACAGCAGTATGTTTTATTCATTAATACCAGAAATAAACAAGAACTATATTGGACATCAACAGTTGCATGCTCTTCCAAAAATAAAGGTATGTTTACAAGTTCATCACAAGATTCACAGGAACCTACCTAATTCTAAGCTATCAATCAATAGTAAAAAAACCACAAAACTTACACTTTTAGCTGTCTGCCCAACAAACTAGTCCAACTGAGCATCAGAAGCAAATAGCAAATGCAATCTACTACAACTCAAATGCAGTCTACTATAGTAGTTTGAATGATCATTTATGCCATAAGTCAGACCCTGTGTGGCCAAGAAACAGCAGCATAAACACTTTACTGTTAAGGATATTTTTTAAAACAAACATGCCTATAAATCAAGCTTTTCCAGAAGCATTTCAGAATATATTAAATACTTAGAGGAAGGGAATATTCATCCAGGTTCTCTGCTGTTGAGGGCCTCTTCATTTAAGCAAAGCAAACAGGTGTCTCCCCACTACTCTGTGCTTAACTCACTACACTGCAGTCAGTTTTAAGCAGAATTTTTTTCCGTCATGTCCCCCTTTTCCATCACTTCAAAGACTTCCCTCCTTCCCAGAGGGTAAAAATCAAGTTGTGCAAGGAGCAGGATACGTACAACATATTAAAACAAGTTTGAAAGCAGCTTTTATAACTTTACTCACTCAATCCAGCAATACCAACTACATGCAAGAAAATGAAAGACTTTTTTTTTTTTTTTTTTTTTACAGTGAGACCAGTTAATCACTGGAACAACCTCCACAGGGATGTTGCAGAGTCCCCATTGCTGGAGGTTTTCAAAATGCAGTTGGACAGGGTGCTAGATAATGTCATCTAGGCTGCTGCTTCCACGCAAGGTTGGATCAGGTGGTCTTCTGAGGTCCCTTCCAACCTGGGCTGTTGTGTGATTCTATATATGTCCAAACTAACGTGAGGCCAAAATCACTAACAAAGGACTGACTTAACTACACCTGCTTAGTACTTCTGTTATTTTTCAGAGTAGATGAATTCCAGCTTTCTATTTGATAGTATAAGTACTGGAAACAATTTATATTAAACACATGAACTGACTCCCTGATCAAGAAGAGATGATTCTTCTTACAGCCCTGCTGGTGTTAGCAGAGCACCACACAAGCAAACACAAGTATTCCTCAACTGCCTGCAGGACATGGGACCTGCAGTTATGCACCTTTAACAATTAACTGCTGAGCAGGAAGCTTCTGTAACTAAAAGCATGCGTTCAGACCCCACCCTAATTGGGAAGCAAAATACATTAGCCTGATCCTTAGCAGAAGTCATTCAAACCAATGTGTTGGTTTTATTTTTTACTTTGAAACTGAACATGCATAGATGTGATCAATCATAGAAACATGACTGGAATCACATTATGTCTACTTGCTAATTCAAGCCCTTCAAATAAGGTATTTAACAGATTCTTACAAACACTTCTCAAACTCAAGGAAAAAAAAGCATTCCCCATCTTGTTAATCTTATGACAATACTATTTTTATCATAATTAGATAAAAAATATGAACAGTAGAGACTGACTGAGATAAGGGAATGAGACAGATGAAAGCAGTGAGTAGTAGTAGTGTAGGTAACTACCCAAGGAGATGAAAAGAAAGATAAGGTTTCCCAGTTAATCTACAAACCTAAATATAATTAATGCCCAACGCTATATTAAGGTTTCATAACTGACAGGATCACTGGAAGAGAGGAAACAAAAGTTAAAATTCCTAAGAGCACTGCAACTCTGCCAGACTACACATCCCATTTGTTATGATGAAATATTTTAACAGCCCAATATTAAAACTACGTGTTCAGGAGGGAAAATAGGAATATTACATATAGTGTCTATGAGTATCTGAATTGAGACAAGATCAGCCACTTCATAACCCAGTAATGCCTGCTCCGCTATTTAAGGCCGTTCTGACCAGTTCCTTAACATCCTGACATTACCAGCACAATGCTAACACCATGGGACTGTCTTGTGCAGTTGTAGGTTTGCGCCCCCTCCCCTTCGATTTAAACAGATCTCACAAGACACAAAGGCACACTCCTTGACAGTGCCAAGGCGTTCACCTGCAAACTTTAAGGAAACCAAAATTGTTAACTGGCATAGTATTCACCAGGCCATGTAGCAGCTTCCAAGCATCCACAGTGCATCTAGAATGGAGAGACATCTGTAAATCCCCTCTAACTACAGTAGAGGGCTGAGATGCCTGGAGACCCACACTATTTTTAATGCTGTTAAAGGGTTGTGTGAGGGCATGTGTGAATTAAAAAACCCACTCCCTACACAAACACTGACTGGAGCTCAGACTGTTACAGCAGAGAGTTTCAGGCTAAGGTAGTACTTCAATACTGTGTCCAAACTAATGTTTTATCTATGCAACTTAAAATACTGTAGGGAACATGTTGTGCAGGCTCAGCACTAGTCTCAAATACACGTAACATTCTACAAAATACCTGAATTGCTTTATGGAGGTGCATCCCAATCAGGATTATCAATTTTAAAAATAAAATAAAATAAAAAAAAAAATCACTAGTTTAACAATCAGAAGCTCAGGTTTAAAGAGTGCACTTGTTGAAAGTAAATTTTCAGTACTTTTGAAAGCAAAAACTAATTCACATACTTTACAAAGAACTGAAAGTGAAACAGAGATCAAATACTGAGTCAGGGTCCCATCCCCCTCACAATACCAGAAAGTACTGCAGATTAATGATGTTAAAATAGTAGTTGCAAAACTCATTGCAGGGGATGCCCTAATACCATCAGTATTCACAAAAAAGCCGTACAAACCAAAAAATGCAAGCAGACTGTAAATCAATTAACGTATTTCTAGTTTTGGGAGAATTGGAAGTGCTACATTAGGGGGTCTAAAATTGATATCCAGTTAATTTTAGTACATTAGAACAACTGTTCCAGTGACTTCAAGTTTCACTGAAAGCGAGCAAATACCATTAAACTTCTATTTATTAACTTCATTATTACCTGCAAAGATACTAAGCTTTACATGTAGAAGATCAAGTTTTGGTGTTAAAAATTCCAAGTACGTGACATGTTGGTGAGTGTTAGCGTTTTTAACCTTCCAAAGTTATAGGGTTTTTGGATAATAAATTCTGTGGTGCTTTCAATGTTATTGGTTTGTAGGCAAGTGTTACAGCAGTATTTGCCCTTTCACAAAGGCTAAGTTTTAAAGCAGTTTATTTTAAAACAGACATATTATATTTTGAAGAAGCTGCAAGTCGCTTTAAAAGCTTCAATCCTTTCAAACCCATTTCACATTCTCAAAAAAAAAAAAAGAGTGCCTTATTGTTCAACACTAGCGTCTAAAGTCATACTGTAACAAGCTGTTTGCTTCATTTCCTCTTTAAAAAGCAGGTATGTTTATAAGACACCTTGTGACCAAATATTTTTCAGATCTCAAGCTTAATGTTGCCCAGTGAATAAAATTCTTCAAAGCATAAGTCAAGTCAATCACAAGGAGTCTAATTTGTACATGCAATTGCTTCTCTACTTCCTGAACATCAGAAAGCAAGTTTCAAAATCAAGACATAAATCTCACAGCTGTTAAAAAAACAACATTGTCTGTAGTGTATGTAACTTGACAGTCCCTCAAGTTTTCATATGTACATTCTTACCCCAAAATTTTTACAAAAGTTGGTGAACAAAAACTTGTAAGCAAGACCAAAGATCTGTAAGATAAAGTTACACATTTTCTTTTGGACGCCAAAACTACCTTAAGTTGTGGAATTGTAGTAACAACCAAGTGTATCTTTTCTGTCAACCTACTTTTGAGTAGGTTTAAAAGATTCAAAAGTGTTTTTAAGAAAGAGGACTCACTCGCTTGAAGTCATTCATATTTGTCGCTTGGACTGGAGTTCCAATAAATGTGAAGTATGTAATTCTTGTTGTCTCTTCATCACCATGATTGGATTGGACAAACAACTAAAGAAAAAAATCCCAAACACAAGAGTTAAGATAAACTGTCCATTAATACAAAAAAACTTAGGTGCCCAAGATTTTTGAACCAACCAAATTAACAGTTTTTCCAATTATAAAGGCCTCTGTAGCCTTTAGAGAAGCTATTGTCCTCTTATTTAAAATAATGATTATATAGAATGCCATTACTTTCCTGGTAGTTTGTTAAAAAACCCACACAGTTTGGACTTTCCCAGCTTCTACTTCCAACCTGAGACCACATTCAGCAAGCAAAACCAGGCTTTAAGAAGTCACAGTTCACTAGAATCTGACTGGAAATTAAGTTAAATATCAATTTAACTATGTTTGCTGAAGCCCCTAAGACTATTCACGTGTAGTTTACTACTATAGTTTCCATAATTACATGTTTTACAGCATGAATACTAGATCTTATCAAGCTATTTTAGGGTTTCAAACAAATCAAGCTTCTTTTGAAATATGAACTACAGAATTATTGCTGGAACCACTATACTTTTTAAAGTGGACAAGTGAAAGAACATTTTTTTTGCATGAAATAGTATTAGTAAGGAACTTGGAGTTATAAGAGCAATGAGGTGTTTGTGGATATTTCCACACTTTATTGTGAGCATGGAGAAAGGAGGAATGAGAAAGAAAGAAAGTAGTGGCATCAGAAGCAGAGGAAAGAAAGGAGGAGGACAACAGGTGGGCAAGGGATAGCATGCACCACACCCTTTCCACAAGCCATAGCCAGTATCTATGAAAATGCCCTTTCTGCCTCAGAAACTGCCTGTGCCAAATACTGGAGGGTATGCATCACTACCTGCTTGCCCCATACTAAAAAAATTTTTTGACGACACCAGATGCTTGCAAGTGCGTGATAAGCAAGATGGATTGCTGATCTAAACCAGCACATTCACCTCTGCAAGTGGCTTCCCTGAAGCTGGAAGACTATATTTTCCTATACAAACAAGATGTATGGAAGGTGAGGGTTGAAATGCTGAAGAAAGTACTCTTCTCACAGTAAGAAACAGAGACCATGTCAAGGACTGACTTTTGTTTAAGAGGTGAACTGCAATGTGTTCAAAGATTCTGTCTCAGTAATGATATGAAAAGTTCAACAAGTACAGAAAAAAAGTGCCTCTGAAGTAGCAGTAATGAAGAGAAGCACACAACAAACGGGGAAAAACAGATTTCCATATGCTGAATTATATGGATTAGAAACTACAGGGTATAGAATTAATAAACCAGGTAAGTTAAAACTAACAAACCTACCAGTGATACACATAAATGAAGTATAAACTTACTAATACTGACATGGAAGTGTTCAGTAAGTATTTCTGACTATACATGGCAGAAAAGCAGGACAATTTGTTACTTGGTAACCATTACACATGATGGAGCCCTGCTTTCCTGGAGATGGCTGAACACCTGCCTGCTGATGGGAAGTAGGGAATTAATTCCTTTTTTCTCACTTTTTTTTCTCACTTTCACTCTTCTGATTCTCCCCGCCATCCCACCTCGGGGGGGGGAACAAGCAAGCAGCTGCGTGGGGCTTAGTTGCTGGATGGGGTTAAACAACAGTGGTATGACAACTGCGCCTCCTCCAGTTCATTAGGAAACAAATGGAAGAATTTTATCTGCGGGACTACGTAAGCAAGCAGACCTTCATCACCTGCACCAAAAAGCCAAGTGGTGGACAAGATGACTGGCCATCTCATTTTCAGAAGTCTTAAATACAGAATCCAGGTTTAGCTAGGAAACTAGGGGAGTGCTACTGCAGTGTCCACATGCAAACAGTGCAAACAAGCAGAACATCTATTTAATCACCTTATCACTTGTCTAATGTTTGCACATCATCCTGTCTAAAGCTGACACAGGATTTTATTAAAGAACAAATACGGAACTTGTACTTGTCAGCACAGCTTTGTAGAATATAAGCCTCTGTGACTGATCTCCGTTTCATTTGGCAGAGGATAAAGTTGGTCACAAAGGTAACTCCACAGAAATAACAGACATGAAAAGGAGTTATTTAGGTTCACCTCCCATTATCTTTAAAATAATTGCTAGTAAAACATGGCTAAACATGAAAGTAGCCAACTGATCTAAAATGCAGTCCACAAATAGTAATTTAGAAATTTACCAGAAACCTTTTTAGAGAGGAAAAAGTGTGATAAAAAGATTGAGGGTGAATCAATGTTCTGGAGTTACTTGTAACTCATAAGCAGCTGGTGACTTCTGTGGCTGGCCCACTAAAATATAGCTTAATTCAATCAACTATAAGTCCATACATTTGCAAAAGTGTAATTCAGGCCACAAAAAGCATTTCCATAGAAAAGAATTCAGGGGTCATATTGGAAAAACAGTTCAACACAATACTGCAGGAAACGGGGCTAACGCAGTACCAGGATGATGCCAAGCATAACGCAATTCCAGCATCAATTTAGTCATCACACATATTGCACTAGAACATTTCTTTTCAAAATCTAAGAGGGGAATCCGCACCTGCATTTAGCAGTCAAAAACCCTATGTGAAATCTGTGGAAAGTCTCTTAAGCAAGAGAATTGGAGAGCTCATTAAAAGACAAAGGTGATTTGATTACAGCATTTAAGAACCCTCACAGAAAGCAGGTATTGAGTTTAAAGACATTACAAGTACTTCACTTGATACTCAGAGAAATCTGTCATTTCTGCAATCAGATTACTGAGGAACTGGATTCCTTGTCTCCTCAACTCTTCAAATGAAGACGCCGTGTTAGTAAAAACTCATGTTGTATTAAACAGCACACTACCTCATCAATGGGTGAAAGTAAACCTTAGGACAAAAGAGACATTGCATGCAGACAGCCTTGTCTCACCTTAAATTCCTGAAATACTTTTAGCATAAACACAAAGTATGCAATCAGCAGAGAGAAATTAAGGACATTTGCAATGAAATCAATAAACATGCACAGTGCTTTAAAAACCTATTAAGTTTTCAGACTGCACAGACCTCAGAACAGAAACTTTACTTACAGTTACACTGTTAACATTCTGAAATTTTACATAGCGAAGCTGGATAATACCATCTTCTTTAATATCATCTGGTGTCAGTTCCAGGGCTTGAGTTGGTTCACTTCTTTCTGCTTCTTCAAAATCCATAGATCGAGGAAGGTTGATAAAGATTTTTATGTACTTTGGACCTTGCCCTGTGTTAAAATATAGAAGTGGTATTCCATTGTTCAAATACATTTTCAAAACACTGATTGAGAAGCGCTCACTTATCACAGTCTCTAGACAGCACTCAAGGAAGGCAGAAGCTTCTACAGTTCTAGTGTCTTATCTGCCAATCCTACATCACCACCCTGGATACTGAAGGACATCCAAAGTTGCACTACTCGTCTATGTGTCAGATACAGAATTCCACAAAAAAATAAATCCAATAAAAAGTCTAAAAATAATAGTTTTGCTGTGTCATATAACACCTAAACATTTTATGTAATTTTATAATGTAAACTCACTTACCATAAAAACTAAACCGTACCTTTCAGTAGCTCTCACACGAATTCTTGAATTAAACATAAGTTTCTCTTTGCAGCATATCAAACTACAGTAAATATTTATATTTGCATCATACCCAATACCCACGCACAAGGTCAGTGAAAAATTAATGCGATAATTTGTTATGTAGTTCATTTACAACAAATCTACTGAAGCTGCTGTGGGATTCTCAGAAGGTAAAAGGTTCCAGGGACAACATTGTCATTTTTTAGAAAATTCAGCTAAACATGGGCAAAGCTTTAGTCTCAAAGATATGATTAAACTGACACTTCACTCACCATTATCTGGCCCCTGAAGTTTCATAGAATAAAGCTTGACAGGTTGACTAAAAGCTACAGTAATAAGCAGCTGTGGAGAAAAAAAAAAGTTGCTGTTGAACACTGGTTTCTTCATTCTTAAAAACAAACATAGCACAATAATTAACTACAAATAAGCCTGAGCTTTGAAATAAAATTAAGAACTTACCTTCACCATATTCCACACATGCACTAGTCTGTCACTTTAAAATGTCAGCAAACGCTACTCCATTTGGAATTTTTTCCATACATAAAGGGATGTGAAACTGGAAATGCTACAACCACCTTTTTATACTAATTTTACTTACATCCTACTACCATCTCCCACTCTTACTTACACTACCATAACATTGTAAAGTAGACAAGTTCTTAAAACAAATGCTTGCAGACTAGACCATCATTGAAAATATCTCACTTAAAAATATCTACTGTACCTGCTCATCACAGTCTGATTCCAAGTAGGTAGAGTCTTTACGTAAACAATTATCAAATCCATGCTCATCACTCTCATTAAGACATTCACAGCCGGCTTTATTGATAAATGGCATTAAATCCATCTGAAAGTAAAAGCAAGAGCATTGCTGAGTGCATGATAAGTGCACCATGAACTCATCTGGGATTAGTAAGCATTGGAATGAATGAAATTCTTCATTCAACAGATTAAAATAACAAGACACACAGAAAACCTCAGGGGTTTATATCAAAAGACATTACAAACACAAACTACGAATACTATAGTACTCAGATGCATTCAGTTCATAACTGAACAACATTTCTCCCCTCCATTCAAATCCTGCACCCCTGGAACACACACTTGCCATTTCAAGAATAAGAAACTGGGCACAGGGAGAATTTTCAGATATACTTTTGATAAACAAGACTACAGCATCGAAGTCACACCACAACACAAACTGACATTAGACTGGAGCTATGATCAACTTAACAGGGAAAAAAAAACCAAACCAAACCACCCAGATATGGGCCTCCCCAAAAATATACTACATATTGCAGAACACGTTGAAAGACCACCACTACAGTTCTTACCAGGCTTTATATGCAAAGCTAGTCTTATTTTACTTCTTTTTCAGCATTGTATACAAATTAACTTTATGAAACCTTTTCCCACTCCTTTTTCCATATACTTTGGCAAAAACACAGAACAGCAGAAAACAAAAGCAACACTATTCATGATGAACCAGTTTGGTTTACTGCTCAGCTCTTTTGTAAAGGGTCCAACTAAAAGTTTTAGCATATATACATTCTCAGACTAAAGCAGACTGCTATCCATGCTCCAAGCCATTTAAAAGGCGGTATTCTTGCAGAGGCAGAATAATCTGTGTCAATTTCCAGATAATCAGAATTTTTTGCCTGCGACTAAAGTAAACCAAATCCAATTGAAGCACAGTAAGTCAGGCTAAAAATCAAGTATTTCATATCTTAAGGCCTGAAGACAGAGCATCAACATCTCACACCATAACAGTACAAATTCAAGATCAGTGTACAGCCATAGAACAGTCCAGACCTAAGAAACTAAAGGAACTTTTAGGATAACGACCCAAAAATACCCTCCTTAAAGGCATCTACTAGGTCCCAAACAATAATATACCACTCTTGAAAAAAAGCACACACTAGCCTGAAAATTACTGCTTACAACAACTCAGGGTATAGCTTCATGGTACAAACAGAATCCAAAAACAGACTGCTGAGAGAATACAACCCTTTTCCTGTATGCCACTTCCCTTAGCTCTTGCAACAATGTTATTCTAAGCAAAAAATACTTATCCCCCTCCCAGCATCCAAATGAAGGCTTAGCTTGCAACTCGCATGCTCAGTATATAGAAGGTAAGCAAAGAAAAGGAACACACAGCTGTGTGAGAGAATGAAGATACTTCCCTGGAGCCAAGAGCAGCCCAGTTTGGGTCAAGCATATCCTAAAATAGCATTTCAGCCTACCACTTACAGGTCAAATGGAATTCCTGCTTGGCTCATACAGTCCTGAACATAATCAGGACTTGATTCATAGGGGTAAGACACCACCTCCTACAAGATTAACTTTTAATACAAGGTGGTGTGTTCATCTCAAAACCAATCTAATTAAGCAGACCTGAAGTTGTTACTTGAATGATTTTCAGTGTGTTTAGGGCTCCAAAGCTAACAAGCTGAACCTTTGTCTTTTGACATCTCCATAGTTTGACAGAGGATTTCACAGTAATTAAAAATGTAAGTGTTCACATATAAAGTGAAGTGCAATGCATGCCGTGGAACAGTTAGAAAGTAGCTGAACTGCTAGAAATTCAAGTGACCTGCACTGTTGCAGTTCATTTAAGTGAGAAATACTCAGCTGGATTTGCACCCTGCTTACATTTGCCTGATAGGATAGAGCTAGCTATGATTTTAAAATACTTAACCTCCAAAAAACTTGGTTTTGCATTTAACAGCATAATTCTGGGTTCTACAGATACTCATCACAGCAAAGTTTAACATATTAGATTCACCAATGCAAAGTAACATGCACACTACAGCAACTAGCTAAGCACTGAACTGTGACACATGATTTAGGCAAAATGTAATACACCACATAACTAACTGTGTTTATACTTTTGGTAGAACAATAGACAATCTCATTTAAGGAGTAATATTACACCAAGGATTGCTTGGAGAATACCACCTAAGACGACAGCTCTAGGAAAGTGTTTTGTCACATTAGAGTTCTCATTTACATGTGTTTGTTAGTACAGCTGTCAGACAGGCTTATGATTTGCAAGGCACAATTGCCTTGAGGTAACATGAAAACACGCAGAACATGGCGAAAATAATTTCCTGAGAGCACCAATATTTCTAAGCGGATTGCTCCCTTACTGAAATTCTAGCCAAAAAAATCAAGTATCCCTACAAAGTTCTGATTTACCTAGGAGACATGGGCAAATTATGCAATGATAAAAAAGAAATCTGTTCATGAATACCAATTTTTAAATTCTTCATAAGTACATGTAACATCAAATTTTAGTTATGAGAGATTTTGATGCAAGGTTTAAAAACCATTCAGTTTGAGAACACGTATTTAGAAACGTTCACTTTTCTTTTTTACAAATTACTAAAAAAAGTTACAAGTTATTACTTTACATTATCTGTGAATGCTTGATCAGCAATTACTGGAGTGATATGCAGTACCCCTACAGAAGTGAAACAATACACATTAAGCATTAAATTGAAAGGAAATTCACAATCAGCAAGAAGTCTTGTATGCTACTCAGACCAGGCACATAATCTTTTCCTGTGATATATTTTTTACTTTATATACTTTTATATCCTTGTCATTCTTTTACAGGCAAGAAGAAATCTAAAGAGAACACTTTGTAGTACCATCCACTTCTGCAAACATTAGCAATTAGGCAGAAGAAAATATATCATGAGATACCGTTTATCTAACAATACCCTCCCAAAGGCATCCTATTTTCAGGGCAAGCTGCTATAGAGGAAGATGGAGCTGAACTGTTACGAAGGTTAATTCCTTTGACAGCAGAATCTCTCCTTTTTTTTTTTTTTTTTAAAGAGATGAAATAAAGAGGATTAAAGAAAGGGTAAGGAGCAAGAAGAAAAAAGGAAAACCCCAAATGAACCTACCACCACATAAACAACAGAGAGGTTTTCTTAAGGAACAACTAGAGCAACTTCTCAATGTTTTTGACAACCATGTTTAACAATGTCTTTTCCTATGGACATTTTTACACTTTAAAAAACGTTTTGGGAAGACAGATTGGGATGTCTGAGAAGAAGAAAGAAGCAGAATAAGGAGCTGCAGCAAAAAGCTCATCATAAAACATTAGATCCATTATTCAATGAATGACTAAGGGCTATGCATGGAGATTTTTCTTAAAACATTTTATAATTCTATAACCATACTTACTAAATATGTACATGTTAGTTTTTTATTTTGTCTGAAAAAGGAAACCCAGACAAGTGATCTTCTCAAAGCCATGGGGAAATTGCAGTTTTGCCTAAAGTACCACTATTTGACTTAGAGTATGTTTAGAAAGCAAGAGATACTTTTTTTTTTTAAACATTCAAGCTATGCAAACATTAAAAAAAAATTATCTTAAGAGATGCATACATATCCTTTTGGGATATCTGTATCTTCACTGTTTCCAGGATCATTCTCCAGGTGCTGTTTAATTTTTTCTTCTAAACCTACAGCATCTGCTCCTTGATATTGGTCGATTCGCACTTTGTTTCGGAAAAACAGAAATGTCGGCGTTGCTGATATATTATTGGTAGCAGCTGTTCCCTACAATGCATAAATTAGTTACAAGTGTTACCTAACAGAGTATTACCAATATTAGACAGAAACATTAGCTTGCTTCACCTAGATAAGAATGCACACACTAGATATTTAACAAGCTACATCACCTCAAACATCACAAACAGTATTTGTTGTTTTATAAACAGCTTTAACTCAGACAACAATTTTAAGTTAATTTAAATTCTTCAGATCCTCCTAATCCTTTACATATTTGGGCATTCTTTGAACAGACTTCACATTGTCAGTAGATTTGTTGGTACACCATAAAAATCATTACTCATTTGCTTTCAAAAGTGGAGGACGGCTTAATTTAACACTTATTTTACAAGCTTTCTTTACACCTGCATTCCTTCCTCTCCCAAGCCACATTCCTGCGCACCCAGGAATTGCAGCCTGCTGCTGTAGAAGGTGAATTCCATTTGATTTCTACCTGTATTCATACCTGTCATGCACCCACAGTAGTTTTTCCAAAACTTTCCTTAATTTAGTGTCATTTGCAAACATTGTTACCACTTTGATGTTCATCTCTCTCCATTATAATTTGTAGTAATTCAAGACACTTCCTTTCAACATACTATTGTTAATTTTTGTTAACAACCCTTAAGTCAATCAACAGCTCACCTGCAACACTGTTGTCTGTTAAAAACAGTTGAGTAGTACTTGAGAGGAATCTAGTCCCACTAATCATATCAGTATATTGCAGTTTTCATTTTGCTCAATAATTACACCAATATTTGTTTCGAAAGACTTACTCTTTTTAATTCATACTAGTGCTATCTTCCACATTTAGCGGTGTTATCTAAATAGTACAAGCAGCAGGAACTGTTAAAACTGACTGTACGCTGCTTAAATGAAGGACATCACAGGGGTAACTGCAAGAATGCTTTTCTAAATAAAAGTGTTGTTTGTTCACGTCTTTGTGCATATCCTAATTTTGGAGAATTTCACAATATGGCTATTTGTGATTCACCAAGCGTGTCGACAGCCACAGGACACTACTCTCAGTCTACTGTCTGAACAGTCTTTCTTCAAGTTTCCCATTCACGACATTATCACGACATCTGCTCTTTGTCTTACAACCAAAAATATGGTTTTGAATACCAACCTGGCATTGATGCACATCTACTTCCAAAAAAGTTGCCTGGGGATATTTGTTACTCAGAGCATTGAAAGCCGGGGCTATCCTTAAGCAAGGGCCACATCTGTGAAAACAACATACAGTTTAATTTAACTCAACCTTTTGTTTGAAAAATGTCTGCCCCAAATAGAATTAGCACATTCATGTTCTTACTGATATCCTTGGTATATGTAAAAATAACCTTCCTACCTGGCTGACAGATGGTGAGCAATCCTGGTGATACAATTAAGAATGACATTGAGAAACATATCATGAAGTGTTAATTCCCACTTCCTCAGACAGCTTCAATGTCACATGATTAGCTTCACCTATCAATTAATACTAACTTCCTATTTTCCATCTAATGGGTTTAGCTCCGGCATCTTTTACCGCAAGCTAAAGTCCTGCTAACTAAAGTGACATAAGGGAGGGCAAAGAGTTGCGTTCTTTTCCTGAAATGGCAAACACCACTTTTATCCGAAAATTAGTACTAGCACTCCATGTTACATCCTGTGAAAAAATAGTATCTATAGCAATATCTGTGTATGACTTGAAATATTTAACAGTAATAATGTATCAAACCCTTGGCAATAATCATAGCATTCTTACTACAATAAATCTCACTTAATACAACTGTAACCAGTTACTACCATACTTATTTGACCCTGGTAACACAGACCTGACTTCTGCTGACTTAACTGTATCACCTTGGCTGAAAATATGTATTTGTTAATTATGATACCTTTGCTGGCATATATGAAGTGTACAGACGCAACTATTCCTCCATACGGATAGTCTCACAACTCAATTTGCTGTGAAAGAAGCAATTAAAAAGCAAAACACCAAAAAACACCCCAACCCAACCAGTAGAAACTCCCTCCAACAGCATATCAGCATAGGCTGTAGCTAAACCAGAGAGCTCTGTCAATGTGAATCTGCCAAGACACATAGCTGTAAAACAGCACAGATGAGATCCGCTTCACCTTTTCTATTCTCTCTTGACAGAGAGGGTATGGATCCATAGCAGCATAGCAAGGCGAACTCACAGATATTTATACACTAAGACATCAATCCATTAACGTTACTGGAACCTAATAATATATTGGGTAGTCTGTAACCAAAACATTTTCCTGGGCACACATGTACGCAGTATTACTGAGATCACCAACACCTCTACAGTTATGGATGAAGTGGACTTACCTAAAAAAAACCCAACAAACCCGAACCCCATAACTTAAGCAGCAGCAATCAGACATCAGATGCATGTATATGAATGCTTTTCTCAGTACCCATTCAGACACCCAGCTAGTGACCTTGTGGCCTCTTCCAAGTATAACATCTTTCACCATCTCTTTCATATCACACCTGAAGTCTTTCGAGCTCCAAACAGCCATTGGAAGTGGAATGGTTCAACTGCACATTTAAATAGGTGGTAGAAAGATGAAAAAAAAAGAAAGAGCGTAGGCACTAAAAGCTAGGACTTTGACAATAATGAGGTGCACTTTGAAGCCCAAGACCCCCAACACCATCACTATTCTCCCTACCCTCCCACAGATTACTGTGAATAACTGAATTGTTGTGATTTCCTTTGGTCACCAATTCATCCAGATTACACCAACCACACCTGTACTTCAAATCCCCACTGAGTATGGGAAAAAAGACTTGCCCCGGGCAAAAAGGATGAGGATCCAGCTAAGTTTTATGGAGGCAGGAGATGGTTTTAACAGAAATCAAGCAAGATGCAGTTGTCTCTGCCCTCTGTTAACAGTGGCTTCCTGACCTGCAACCAGATTTTAAGCCAGCATAGCGTCTGATCTCCTCAGAGCACCTGAAGAATGACAAGTTCAGAGGGCAGGGGAAGCTGGCTCGGCTGCAAAAAAAAGTGAATTTAACCCCAGAAATAGGAAATACCATCCCGATGCTGTGACTGTATTGATATGCTAGAGACAGGGAGTGTCACTAACGCTAAAAAACAATTAGCTCACAGCTCTGACCCCCCCCGCAGCTGGCTAGTGACCAAAATGATACAGCATTTTGCCAGCTAACTGCACTTCTCAAGTCCGAAGCCTTGCCTCGCCTCAAAATAATAAAGAAAAAAAAACCCCACCAAAATCCCCTCAAGGCCCCCAGCGGTCCTCTCGCTCCCGGCCAGCCTCCTCACTCCCAGACCGGGCCCGGAGCGGCAAGGCCGGCTGACGGGGCCGTGAGGAGACGCCTCCCGGTAGGGTCAGGCCCAGCTCCCGCTCTCCGCCGCCTCAGCGGGAACGAGGCCGCGGCGGGGGAGGACTCGGGGGCAGGGGC